GGATGCACTAAAAAGTAGAAAATAAATTATACACTATTATTTAAATAACTATAAAGAAAGCGTGAGTCTCTTCTCAAATATTAGTAAAGGTATCCAATAGGTACTTAAGTGACCCACGTTTTTCTTTATAGTTAATCAAATAGTAGTTTATAATTTATTTTCTACTTTTCAGTGCATTATTACATAAAAGCTTGTTATTAAAACGTTTTTTAATGAATTTTTTTTTAGTTTTTTATGCATGTGCTGTTTAGTCTGTTGTGAGTCTAAAGATTATGTATTGTTGTTTTCGTTTCATCTTTTTTGTAGTGAGGGTGTGTGTCAGACCACATTTGTGTTTGTTTTTATGATTCTTTTGATTTCTTTTGGATGTAGCGAGATTTCTGGTTGTTTTTTTCTTTCCCCCAATTTTTGCCAGCTGGTCCGCGATCTCATTTCCTTGTATCTGGGGGTGGCCCGGGATCCACTGCAGCACAATCCTGCTGCAGGTATTTTTTAGCCTATCAAGTGCTGTCCTGAGTGATTGAATAAAGGATTCTGGATTTTTTACAAGCTTTTATTTAACTCACTTCCTCTGTCTGTCGACAGTCGTCAGTCGTCAGTCTAGACGGAAACGCAAGAGTAAAAATTCGGACCCTTCTACTTGACCGATACGATTCACATTTGACACGTGGGTCAAGACATGAAGACAATGCATTCTGAAACTAAATTTGACTTAATCGGATGCCTAATTAATTTTTTATGAATTAATAAAAATTTGGACCGAATTAGTAGGCATGTCTAGCCAACCACACCACACTCGTCATCACCTTCAATAGCTGCGCCATCACGTAATGGCTGCGTTCAAAAACCATTGCGCGCCTACTGAACGTGATGTTCAGTAGGCGCGCAATGGTTTTTAGTCATGTAACTCTATTGTAAATAAAACATGTAAAGTACTGAAAAAAAAATTCATAAAAAACGTTTTAATAACAAGCTTTTATGTAATGATGCACTAAAAAGTAGAAAATAAATTATAGACTACTATTTAAATAACTATAAAGAAAAGCGTGGGTGTCTTCCTTAACATTAGTAAAGGTATCCAATAGATACTAAAGTGACCCACGCTTTTCTTTATAGTTATTTAAATAGTAGTCTATAATTTATTTTTTACTTTTTAGTGCATCATTACATAAAAGCTTGTTATTAAAACGTTTTTTATGAATTTTTTTAGGGACTGCGGGACAGATTTTGCATCTGTAAGAAAGACTATCTGACTATCTGGAGATTCAGGGTGTTCTGACAGGAGGGTTGCTGCATGTTCTAAAGCTTCTTTCTCTGCTCTAAAATTGTCGGATAGGCTGCCTGTGGCTATTGACTTTTCTAAGCTTTCTCCATTTGGCCATTCAATAAGGACTCCAGCCCCGCCATTTTTTTGTGGCATCTTCAGCTGAGCCAACTGTGAATACTCTAATCCAGGTATTGCTGGGGTACTGATCCTTAATGAGCTTATATGTTATTTTCTTTAGTTCTTCTTGATCGTAGTCAGATTTTTTTTCAACTTGACGCACTTTCAGCAGTGCAAAGTCTTCATGGATGAAGCAACAGCTGAGTTCCCCACATCATTTGTATTCAAAATCATCAAGGACCTCCAGTAGCGGTTTTCTGACTAGGATTTAGAGGCAGAAGAAGTGAGACTGTTTCAAACCCCAATTGAAGCAAATGTAACCAGTTGCCCAGAAGAACAGCAGCTGGAGGTCATTGTATTGCAAGCAAATGACTTCCTTAGAGACAAGCTCAAAAATGGTGGGTGGGTTTTTTTGTGTTTGCCCAAGGAGAACAAACATGAACCTCGAGTGTATTGTCGGCACACGACAGTGTTTCTTTCAGACTTTTTCTCCTCGGGGGGGGGGGGGGCATTTAAAATGTGTACATATTTCTAAATAAATTATATTTCGTTTGGGGGGGGGGGGCACGGGGGACACCGCCACCCCAAAAAGATGCATGGAAGAAACTCTGGCCCCCGAACTGGTATTTGATAGTTAATGCGGCCCTCGGGCTGAAAAGTTTGGAGACCCCTGTACTACACCATGAGCTCCACACACAGGAAAACTTTTCGATAGGTTTTTTTGTTGACGAAACGATTATCTTTGCTTAGACACGTATTACTAGATGTGGTCCTCTTCGTATTCATCGTCCCTATATAATGTATGATATAATATAATGTACAATATAATGTATAATATAATTTACTTGTGTCTCTCGTGGTTGGGCAGTAGAGCTCATTGGCTAACCTGAAAGTCTCGAGTTTGAATATCAAGTGTCCACCCAACTCACGTTTGATCAATTAAAGGCGGCTGGGCATGGTGCTGAACATACCATATCTTCATCACATCATACCATCATATGTCGAGGTCAATAAACACATGAACTCTACTTTATCTGCCGTACAGATCATCAGGTCCGAAAGTAGAAGCTGGCATATACTTTTCTCTTCAGAGTTTAATTGAAAATATCGCGAGTCTAGTATCAGTTTTTGATATCTACAAATAGGGAAAGTTTATTTGTAATTTACTTGACGGTAATTTTTAAAATGTTTATATATATTATATACCAACAAACTGTATTGTTTACCCAAGGCAGCGTATTGTATACCCATCCTAGTAACGTTTATACCCATCACTGTAAAACTCTTTTATGTAATAATACATTAAAAATGATTTTTTTTAAAATATATAATAATACATACTATTTAAATAACTATAAAGATAAGCGCGGGTCGCCACGTTATCTATTGGCTACCTTTACTAATATTTAGGAAAAGACCCAAGCTTTTGTTTATAGTAATTTAAATAGTTGTGTATTACTATATATTTAAATAATTATTCCTTAAAGCTTGTTTTTAAAACATTGCATTTGCATTGAACCTTGACCCACGTGCCAAATTTGAAAAGAATCGGTTCGTTTGAAGTGCTCGAAATTTCGCTTGGAAGTTTTAATCTATGATGACAGTCAGGGGAAGCAAATTATATAAAAGCTTGAAAAAACAAAATGTTGTGCGATTCATACCATTGGCTATTGTATGACTATTTTAAGACATTGAATAAGGACCGAGCAAAGTACACATACAGGACCGGCGCTACCTATAAGGCGAACTAGGCGGTCGCCTAGGGCGCTATCCATGTGGGGGTGCAAAAATGTGTAATCGTTATTATTAAAAAGGTACCTAATAATTAATAACTTTGATTATATCATATAAGCTAAAGAAAGGGTAATATTCAAAAGCGTAGCGATCTATTTCGGCGACCAGGACTAACTATCCATTTAGTTAGACTTATAAATAGCTCTTCGCGTTGGTGAAAATGAGATTGTTCTACAGTAACTAACACACACTGTTGCGTAGGGGAAAAAAACAACTAAAGAAATTGTAGATTGAAAAAAGGCAAAGCTTTAAGCCACTTCCATGGCTTACTGATCCTCTTTAAATAGTCGAATAGGGGAAGAATGACTAGGGTATAAAAATGAATTCATTCAAAATGAATTATATGAATGCAAAAAACAAAACAAAAAACCATAAGAATAGAAACTAACACGGGAAACCATTACACATATAAAGTTTCCATATTTCATAATCTTTTGACCAACTTACCTAAGAAGGTACACTATTCATAACTTTCGGTGGGTAAAAAATAAGATATTTTAAAACTCCACTATTTCAGACCAGAAATGATTTTGAACCTATCTCTGTGTCGTTTGTTGTCTCATGGTGGATAAACTTTGCAATGAAATAGGTCAAATCAAATGGTGTAATTCAAAATTTAGTGAGACAGTCTACTAATACACACACACACACACACACACACACATATATATATATATATATATATATATATATATATATATATATATATATATATATATACTAGCTGCATACCCGTGCTCCTCCACGGTAAATCTATTTATCTATTTTAAAAGCACCAACTTAGGTACAGAACAAAACTAAACACAAACAAAATAAAAACACAAACTCAAACACGACGCAAACACAAAAGAAAACACAAAGCAACACACAAACGCAAAAGAAAAAAACAAACGCAAATAAAAACACAAATGAAAACACAAACACAATGCAAACACAAATGCAAACGCAAAAAAACACAAACGAAAACACAAACACAACACTCATAACATAAACACAACTTAAATGAAAACATAAACGCACAGTGCTTACAGTGTAGTCCGTGGCGCCAAATCGTATCCTGACTGAGCGCTGGCGGACGCGCCTGATTCAATTTAGTGAACGAATATAAAAACCCCAGCTTGTCCGCAAACCGAAAGATAGAAACAATAATTAGTAAACAGTTCGTTCAGTGTATAAAACAAATAAAGGATTGCCTTTTATCAATCCATGCTAATTATAATATTCTAACAATAATGTACTCTTACACATCCGCAGAATTTGCATTCACATTTTTCTAATTATATTATTGCAACAATAATTCCTTCTTGGGGGTTTAATCTGTTTAATATGTATTAGCAATGTGCGTGTATTTAATATTTTCTTTACGTTATGCAAAAGAGTAAAAACAGTAGCAACTATAAAATACATTTAAGTCGTTATATAAACAAACCCTACTCTATTACTTATAATAAGACTCTGCGATGCAAGTAAAAAGCACGACATGTGATGTGATTACTTTTAGGGTTCCAAAATCTATTGCGATGACGGACTGACACACTACATAGCCGCTTAGATTACAGATATAGGCCTATATGATATGAGACCCGAAAAAAATTGCAAGGGGGGGGGGGGTGGGCGGCGTTTTAATAAGCTTTGCCTAGGGCGCTAAATAACTTGGCGCCGGCACTGTACACATATAGAATAAATGCATACATTTGTATATTTATGTAGGCCCGAATTTTATTTATATGTAACATATGCATGATTATGAATATGCAATTGTGTGAAGTGTGTGAAATTCGTGTGAATTGGTATTGCTTTATTTTTAAATCTCAAGCGGTCTTTACAAAAGTGCAATAGGTTCACTAAGTATCAAGATGATACTCTTGCTAACACATCTAATAACAATAATACAAAACAGCTACATACATTTGTGGAACACTAAGATTAAACGTTGAGCAGAGAAAAATATTATTTATTCCCTCTTAATGTTATGCTTTAAGAATGTTTACAAAGACTGATAGGTCATTAAAATTCAGGTTTAAAATTTGACTACCGTCGAATAAACTCGATCTTGGTCAGTACGCCTATTGTATTAGCCTATTAATATTTCGGTATTAACGGGGTAAAACTGACCAGTGGACAACCTGTCTAAGCATTCTATTGAAGCGCTGTTAACGATCTAAAACTGACCAGTATACTGTTAGGGAATAAAGAAATAAAGCTGACCAGTACACAACTTGTTGTATGTAGCCGTCTGTTCTTGCAACGAGGAAAAACTGAATTGAATTTACCACCTGTGAGAGAAGATACAGAGTTGAGCATTAAAGGTGGATGTTGGAATGGAGTTTGAAGATCGAAATAAAATCAAGTTCTTAAGATATTTTTACCCATAGCTTGTGTACACTGTTTGAGAGATAGAAGCTGAAGTTAGAGTTTCTTTCAGATGTTTAGACGCAATTTTGTTATCTGAGGGGAGGGAGGGTGAGCGGGGGGCTAATGTAAAAAAAAATTACATTGGTTATTTTGCCACATATTCCTGTTATTACATTCCCTTGGATTGGTCAATAGCGCCCAACTTTTCCTCAAGAAAACACAAACCTCGTTGAAAAAAACCTATACTGAACATCTTGTTATTTGATCTTTCAATTATTTATACAATGCTTTTGAGATCGTGAATCTAATCCAATGCTATGCCCGTGAGCGAGACAGGCCACAACCAGTGGTTCTTCCAGACTTTTTTATTCGGGGGGCACTTGATATTTTCGGGGGGGGGGGGGGGGGCGGACAACATTTTCCCGGGGTGGGGGAGCAAAATTATATGTTTTTTATATAAATTCCATTTCGTTCAGCCCCCCCCCCCCCCCTGAAGAGATGCCTGAAAGAAACTCTGACCACAGCAAGAATTGTCGTGAATTTGTTGCCAGTCCTCGAGCCGTAGGAGACTGCCGGGGTTTTACTTCATCGCCAGGATTATCGCACCAGCTTGTTTGGACAAGGGTCAGTTCCATCGAGGGATGACATTTAGCTTAGATATCAGACTCAAGACTTCTGTGTCTAGGCCTCGTCATTTCCTAACTGTTAAAATATTGATATTAGTTTAAATGGAAAAAAAAACTTTTTTTAATAAGGAAAAGTAAAGTAGGAACAGTAGAAATTGATGTTAAATTAAGAAACAGTCATAATAAACATTTAAGAGACATACTAAAGTTTTATTTTTAAAATATCAGATGACTTAATTAACTGGATATGATATTTTAAAGACTGAGTAGGTTATATATCGCTGTTTCCTCTTGCAGTCCAATAAATGGGATTAAAATAATGTATGTCTCTGTCAGTGGCGTAGCCAGGATCGTCTCATGGGGGGGGGGGTTCAAATTTTTTCCCGCATTATAAATGTATATATATCAGAGGCGTAGCATCCCTCTCCGGCCCCCGAGGATAAACTTTTGATTTGCACCCCCCCCCCCTTAGACTTTCGATTTTGCACCCCCCGCTCAACCTTTATGTATCTACCGAAGGGTCTATGGGGGGATCCTGACCCCCCCTCCTAACCCCCCCCCCCTGTCTACGCCACTGGTCTCTGTACAAACACCGTTGTTACTATTTGTCATTGAAAGTTTTACATATAATCGTTTCATTAAAAGTTTCTCTGTATTTGGTACTCATTTTATAGTAGAACACAATACTTGTATTGGATTGCACAGATTCGCAGATAAAAGCAAATGAACATATGACGTTGAACAGGTTTTCTTGTAATCGATTCGCACTAATATCGGGAAAAATGACGACAGCTAACGATATGATTACATTGGGTATCGTGGACACGATCAAAGTACTCGACATCAACATGACCATCTTCGATGCTTTCTTCCCCTTGTTCGACGTCGCATCTATCGGATCATTGCAGTGTTGTTGACGCCATTTTAAATTGTGATTCAGTTTCCAAATTAAAATGGCTGTGAAGAAAAACACGAGGAGAATCGAGAACCCGCTCATGGCCGTGTTGACAAGCAACGAAGCGGTACCGATGTACATTCTGTTGCTGGCAAATTGTAGGGTGAGGACTGACTCGTTTCTGGGGAGGATCAGCTGCCAGTCCAGGTAGACAGAGGCGTACTCCGGCATCACCATCACGGCAGAGAACACCAGCATCAAACAAATGGCGATCTTCGTTCTTCTGGGCGTGACGATGGCCTTGACCTTGAGGGGGAGGGCCACGCTGATGCACCTCTCTGCTGTGACGTAAGCCATGATCAGGTAGGCTATCCTGGTGCACACCACGTGCGGCCAACCGGCAGCCACATAGACCAGGTGCCTCATGTTGACTCTCACACCTGAGTACTCGACTAACGGGTTGAGAAAAAAAGAACACTCCAGTAAATAGACGAAGTTCAATATGTCTGTTGCCGCCAGGGCAAACAAACAAATGTTCATGGCGCTTTTCAATCCTTGCTTGTAGAAGATAATCATGTTGATGACATTGGTCACAATTCCAAACACAGAGAAGAAAAAATAGAGAAAAACAACATTTACTATCTCGATTATCATTCTTGTTTCCTGCTTGAGTATCACGTCCCCTGTTTTGTCCTCTTCAGCCATTTTGTTTTTAGATTAAATTACTCGACTCTGAAAATATTTTGTTTTTAGATTAAATTACTCGACTCTGAAAATATTTTGTTTTTAGATTAAATTACTCGACTCAGAAAATATTTTGATTAAATTTCCCGGCTCAATATAACTAAATAAAGTTTTTATCCTGAAGCAACTAGCTCACTGGAAACTCACTAAAATTTGTTATTTTAAACTCCCTTTAATATTTTGAACTATCTAAAGTTCTATACTCGATAGATCCCACCTAAAGATTATATATCTACAATGCCACACAAGGCTAATTTTTTTTTAAAACTTCATTGACAAAAAATGTTCAAGTTTAAAATAACCGTATATTATTATAGAGCAGCTTATTAAACTATTTCACAAAATAAATTTCATAGACATAGCAATAACCAATGAAAACTTGAGAGTGTGCACTAACAGACGATTGAGGAACACTGCCAGAGACTGTACGTTTATATTGTAAAACACCTGGTGTCTCGAACATTCCAGAACTTCCTAGATATGTCATTCATTAGCCATAATTAGGTTCATGAATTTTTCGAATTGACAATTTCTAAACGGACATTAACTGTGATGCAACAACCAATCAAATTCAAACTCACAAGGAGTCGTGGCAAAAGAGTTTCGATTTTTAAACTCAACTTTTTCTCTTTCTGCGTTTCTTTTTAAAAATCGAATGTAAAAAAAAACACCTGGTAATTTCATGAAAATTGCCTATACGTGTTGCAGTGATTAGCCACCGAGAATGGTTTTGGATGCATAATCCAAAACAAAAATTCAGCCTTTTTAAATAATTAGTAATGCTATTTGTTTGTATGTCCGATCATCTCCATTTGCATTTGAAGAAAAGCGTTTCGCCCGATTTGAAATTTCCCATGCCATTAGATATTTAATAAATGACGCAGGCATCAAATTAAAAAAGGGTATTAGATGTGCCATTATTAGTTTGTGTTACCACTTCTCAGATTCTTGCAAAAAAAAAAAACGAATGTCACATTGCTGTCCCTGGTTTTGGAACGTGTAGGTAGTGCACTTGACATGCAGATGGAGCGATAAGTGTTCAATGCGCGCCTGACCTTGCTGGTCTGATGACCTATGATGACTTCTGATGACCTATGATGACCTATGATGACCTATGATGACCTATAATGACCTATGATGACCTATGATGACCTATGATGACCTATGATGACCTATGATGCCATCAGCTCTCTAGTCTTTGTTTACTACATCTCTTCGATATGCCACACGATCTACATCCAAACTAGTTTGTCGTTTATCTTGTCGGAAGGTCTCGCTCCTGATAGGTTGTTATTAACACGTTTTTCTTAACTCAGCTTCGCGTTTGTGGATTTGTGGATTTGTTTGTTTGTTGTTAAAATTGACATCGAAAATTAGCCCACTTCTGATTGCTCTAGAGATCTGAAATTTGGCATACACGCTACTTTCGCCTAACAATTTCAGATGCAATCATAAAAACTAGCAATTAGAGACCGTAATTAGCTTAATTTAATTACGCCCCAAGGACCATAAATTTGAGGACATGATTTCTAAAGATACCGACAAGACTGGAGGCCTATTGAAACAGTTACTTCGGCCCCAATCGATGTGAGCGCGCTGGCCGTGATCGTATAGTGGTTAGTACTTCGCGTTGTGGCCGCGACAACCCAGGTTCGAATCCTGGTCGCTCAATATTTTTAGTCCGTGTATTTATAAACACTTAGTCAATTCATACTTAATCAAGTCATTAGATAAAGTAGAAAATGAACTATATAAAAACTTTTTTAAAAACCACGTTTTTCATGTGTAGCAACGGACTAAAAAGGAGAAAATAAAATACTTAAAAAAAACTTTTTAAAAAACCCCGTTTTTCTTGTGGACTAAAAAGTAGAAAATAACTATTTACATACATTTGATGACAAAAAACGTGGGTCGGGCAGATGGGTCGGGAAATTTGATGGTGAACGTACCCACGTTTTTTGTCATCAAATGTATGTAAATAGTTATTTTCTACTTTTTAGTCCACAAGAAAAACGTGGTTTTTTAAAAAGTTTTTTTTAAGTATTTTATTTTAAATCTCGTATCGCTTTTATTTTCTACCTGTTGATCAAACACTTCTAAGCTAAGTTTAGACTGCACATGTTGTTGTTTTCTACAGATTGCGTCCGGCAAGTTGTTTGGTGAGAGTCATCTGGATTCTAGTTTGGTTTTTTAACGAGGTTTTTCTTTTGGTAACCTAATCGTTTGAATAGTTGAACTAATTTGACCACTAATGAAGTTTGACCCTATCGGACCAGAATATCAAAAGGGCAAAGTCGAGCCCATTATTTTACATTTCGGCACATATAGGGATAGTGTGGTCACTACTGAGCCGAGCATAGTCTTACGATCACCAACGTAAGTCGGATACCTATTAGAGCTGAGGAGACACAGTGGAATCTTACGAGCTCGAGACTTTTGGGTTCGTAATCAAGTATTCGACCACTCTACTCCCCCCCTCCATTCCACCTCGGAGCACAGTAACTAATTTATATCCCCCCCCCCCCCCCCCCCGGAGATAAATTTCTGGAAAAAAAACTAAATGCGATAAGGGACTAAAATATGGTCAATCGGACATTGTAAATCAGAGAGTTGGACATCTTATTGAACCTAATAGAGGCAAACATATAACGAGGTGTGTGGCATTGAACACGTCGTGTACACTAATTACAAAAACAAATCGATACAACCAACTTGTCACTGACGAAATAACTCCGCCACCATCACGTGATTTTACACGCGCCTCAGCCGGTGTCATCATTTTAAACGGTCACGCTTCAAAAATTTAATTTCTTCTGAAATTAAATCGCAATCAGGAAAGAAGAAACGAACAAACGCAAGATATTTTAATAATCTACGGCTATCATGCTCATGCTATGGAATCAATTCTGCCGTCACGTTTTGTATAGAACAATTCATCACAACAAAAATTTGAAAGTTATCAGTTTTTCTTATCAGCGGAAGTAACTAAAACAACCCGACGGCTGAGAAAGTTGGGTAAGTGGTGGGACCGATCACTTAATTCTAGAACCTTCTCTCTCATGACTTTAGTGGTTTCTTTAATGTTTTGAGGCACTATTCCCAAAACATGCACTAAAATAGTATGGTGCAAATTAAAGAGTACCTGTTCAATAGCCAATAGCTTTTCAAAATTGTTCATAAAATGTAATATTTATTAAAATTTAATTAATAAAATAAAAATTAAATAGTTTTTCTATTTGTATTTTTAAAAATAAGTTCAATTTTTATATGCATTAAATGTGTGCACTAATTAACAGAAAATAACATTTAAAAACGTTTATTTTTTTTTATTTTTTTGTTGTTGTAGGTAACATTCATTATTTGTGCTATTTTATTGTCATTTTACTTGCAATATAAGCTAGTGATACAGGGGTCAGGTCACATCCCCAACCCTTATCTCTAGCTATTTGTTGAGTTGGCCCAGTTAAAATTCACTTTTAATAGAGGTAACAAAAAAATTTCTTTTTAAATATATATATATATATATATATATATATATATATATATATATATATATATATATATATATATTTAATAATCTCAACACCCATTAATCTAGTGAACACAAACCAAAGTAGCTTCACTTGTAAAGTTGTAACCAAGAGACAAGAGATTACATAGCATAGAAATTGTCAATATACGAAGTACAGAGAAAGTATTGTAATCGTGCAAAAAAAAATCGAGATTTTTACAGATCTCGACGTTTTACACCTCACTGATACAGAAAAACATAATTTTGCAATCCTGTCCGTATGTCTGTGTGTCTGTCTGTCTGTCTGTCTGTCCGTGTGTAAACACGATAACTTGAGTACCGTTACAGCTAGGTTGATGAAATTTCATATATAGGTATTTTATCAAAATCGTAGATCCGTATCACCTTTTGAGCGATTTCCAATAACCTGAAGTGGTACTTATTCTACTTTGAATTTTTCAAAAGCCTATAACTTGAGTACTATTTCACTTAGATAAATTAAATTTTACACGTAAGTAAAAGATCTAATTCTCTACCTTCTGTTAAATTTTGAGTAATTTTCGTTGACCGAAAGTACTAATTTACGCTATTTCCGATTTCTCAAAAAACGCACGTAAATTTATAAAGTACTAATAATATTGCGCACTATTATGCACATTTTATTAGGCGTTCACTTAGTGTGCAATTCTTTTTTTTACGAAATTCCATTCTATTATAAAAAGTTTAAGTAATTAAAAATGGATTACAAATATTGTCTATGTCCTGAGTTGACATCCCTCGTAGTTTTATTTTAGAATATCCGAGAAAGTTTAGGGGAGATCACTCTCGGTTTATTTAAAACCCATTTTAATTAGCGCTGCCGAGTTGATAATTAACAATTACATTCTACTAAAAAAGTAGATTACATTTGACTGCTGAACACTGTTTTAATTAGCATCCTACAAAACCCGATTCATTATTTTTTCTATATCTTTATGATTTTTTTTTAGTAAAAATCAAACATTTGAACATACAATTTTATTAATTTTTAAACTTGTATTAGTCTAACCAGAGAACTTTCCTTGCAGCACAATGTGTCCGGACTGCTTGTCTCTGAGAAAGTAGACGAAAGGATGGTCAGCAAGAAATTTCTTCCTCGTCTGACTTGCCACATTGGCAGGACCCGTGATGACGCCAGTAGCAGCAGAGATTCCAGTCTCATGGACGTCAATCCTGGCTTTGTGAATCAACATTTGAAGGTACACTCCACCTGCACGCGTACAACCAACGTTAGTCATATATATATATATATATATATATATATATATATATATATATAATATATATATATATATATATATATATACATATATATATATATATATATATATATATATATATATATATTATATGTATATATATATATATATATATATATATATATAATATATATATATACATATATATATATATATATATATATATATATATATATATATATATATATATACATATATATATATATATATATATATATATGTATATATATATATATATATATATATATATATATATATATACATATATATATATATATATATGTATATATATATATATATATATACATATATATATATATATATTATGTATATATATATATATATATAATGTATATATATATATATATATATACATATATATATATATATATATGTATATATAATATATGTATACATATATATATATAGTATATGTATATTATATATATATGTAAAACTTTGGGATGCTGACACCCAGTCTCTGTAGGGTCAGACCAGTTAACAGTTCCTCAACTTTCCCCGGTGTTACCAAAAGTTCTTCTGTTTAAAACAACCTTAATTAAATTATTGCCTAGACCTAGTAAATCAACATTGCAAAAGTTGTAAGAACCTTTTGTTTGAAATGTTTTTTAGCATTTTAGAAAATATAACTATTTAGTAAATTGTGAAAGTAGTTGTATTAAAATGTTATTAGTAGAGTGCATGTATTCAAACTGTGTTTTGTATTTAGGAGAGTAATAATATTTTTTTTATAAATGACAAACCTATTTTTTTTATCCCATCCACCTTTTGTGGAAGAACGATGTAAAAACAAAATCTTCCACCCAGGAGTGGCAGCTCCACCACATCCACCTCATTCAAGTTATCCCGTTTGAAGTTTGTCGTCCGTTCGTCATTCATCAGCGCCACCTGCAGTTGTCGGACATGACAACATCAACATCTGAGTGATCTGAGGTCACCGCCTCTTGTTGGCAACAATGATATTATTTTCATAACGGTTAAAGTTTTTATTTTTAAAACCTGCGAGTATTTTGGGATCATCAGTTTGTGACTCATGCTTAAATACATATTGGGGTGCTTATGGGTCGCTGTTGGGCTCTTATTTAGCCATGCTTTGGTTGTGTCTTCATATGGGAAAGTCATGTTTATGCTGGTTTATATGGTTCAGTCATATATTGGTGGAGGGGTTATATAGTTCAGTCATATATTGGTGGAGGGTTTATATAGTTCACTCATGCTGTTGAATAGTTTATAAGGTTAAGTCATAAATTAGTGGATGGTTTGTATTAGGGTCAATATATTTGATGGCATTCAAATCGGAAGTTATCCATTAGTTTGTACATATTTATCATGTTGAAATAAAGTAAGTTACCTGGCTAACAGAGTGACCGTTCTTGTAGAAAGTCTGATTTCTGGTCCGTTCTGCTGAAAAAGTTCTCTCCCAGCTTCCCTCTAAAACAACTGCGTTCAGAAGGTAAACATCCGAGAGGGAATCTACAGAGCCAAGAAAAAACATTGGCGAAATTATTGCCTGAATGTCGCTCAATAGTGAACAAAATCACATGCTGGTTTGTTAAATTATGTTAGCTAGGGCATGGAAGCCTAATCTAAGTCAAACTATGATCTGCGATGGGTTTTAGTGCCTTATATTTGTTTACTCGTTTTTTTTCGATTATCAATTACATTAGCTTTTTTTTATATTGGATATGGCGTGTAGGCCAAATCTACAATAATCAACTATGGTCCGTAGTTGGATTTAGCGCTATATATGGTTTTTTAAACTACCCAAGTATCAAATTATTTAACTCTTCTCTTTTGCAACATCAATGACATTAACTTTTAATCTCCTACTAACCAATAATTCAACTAGATAACGTACAAACCAATATATATATATATATATATATATATATATATATATATATATATATATATATATATATATATATATATATATATATATATATATATATATATAGTTTTAGTGATAGCGAATGAAACAGTGAAATATGTTCACAAACAGCACGTAACATATTAGTGTCGTGTGAGTTGTCCGCACATCATTGCTTGCCTCCTGCACAAGTCTGAGGTGAAACACGTCTGTGATGACTACCTTGACCTTGTAGTAACTGGTGATGTTGTGTATAAATACCGGGTTGATCTCATCTCTATGGTCCATGTAGAAGGTGTTTACTGTGCTAAGTCCGATGTGTCGCACGGAGTTGAACTAGACAACAGGATGGACATTACAATAATCAACAACTCGCTCGTTATAAACATATTGTATACCAACGAACTGTATTGTATACCCATCCTTGTAACATTTATACCCATCACTATATAGTGTATAGCATGGCTGTATATTATCATGTGACTGTACACTTTAAACAAGCTACCCAAGGCTCCAATACAAGGCTTACATCTGTGATAAGTTCTCTGTACATCTCATGTACAGCGTCACCTAGGTCGGTAATTCTCAGAGTCGTGGTCATCTCACGTGACGTCTGACCTCTGGCACCAAGTGACATCATTGTCAAGGCCGCGTGGATGCTAAAAATAGCCAGGAATTTTTCGTTATTCCATACCTAGGGCGACATTTTTATAACTGGTGGGGGGGGGGGGGGGGGGGGGAGGAGGAGGGCACTGCAAATATTTGTTTTAGCGAATGTTTGAACAAAAAAATTTCAAGGTGGGGTGGGGCCGACACTGGTATAATTTTTTCCCCATTATATTTCATGGGGGTGGTGTACGCGTGTTTTGGGGGGACGGTGCCCCCCCCCCCTTCCCCCCCCCCCCCCCCCCCGAAGAGACGCTTGAAAGAAAAACTACTTTCAAATGGCTACAGGACATTACCCCCCTGGATATTGCCCCCCCCCCCGGACATTCCCCCCCCCCGTATTTACCCCCCGGAGCAATTACCCCCCTGTCAATTACCCCCCTGTCAATTACCCCCCCGGGGAATTACCCCCCCCTATCAAGTTAAAATCCTAACTCTAACTAGAATTTTATCCCTATATACTACTTTAATCCAAACCTTAAGAAAAAGACCAAAACCTAAGCATCCACCTTAGCCTAAAACTTCACTCAAAACCAAAACCAAAGCTAGACACAACCCTAACCCTAAAACTAGCTCTAACCCTAACCCTAACCCTAACCTTAACCCTAGCCCTAAAACCTAACCCTAACCCTAACCATAACCCCAGCCCTAAAACCTAACCCTAACCCTAGCCCTAGCCCTAGCCCTAACCCTAACCCTAACCCTAACCTTAACCCTAGCCCTAAAACCTAACCCTAACCCTAACCATAACCCCAGCCCTAAAACCTAACCCTAACCCTAACCCTAACCCTAACCCTAGCCCTAGCCCTAGCCCTAGCCCTAGCCCTAACCCTAGCCCTAGCCCTAGCCCTAACCCTAACCCTAACCCTAACCCTAGCCCTAGCCCTAACCCTAGCCCTAACCCTAACCCTACCTCTAACCCTGTCCGGGGGGGGGGGTAATGTCCTACTGGTTGGGGGGTAATTGACAGGGGGGGTAATTACTCTGGGGGGTAATGTCGGAAGGAAATATCCGGGGGGTAATTGACAGGGGGGAAATGCCCTGTTCCCCTTTCAAATATATGTAGTTATTTTACCAGAACGGAGAATAGACGCTATTCGGCGTGTCCACTGCCAGCCGCCCATACAGCGCCTGGGAAAATTGTGTCGACGCCTCTGACAAGTCTTTTGGTTGCAGCCGGTCACCGTAGACCAAGTGACCAGCACTGGCCAGAAATGTCAGCACGGCCAGCATCTGCTTATTGAAGTGACCACATCAACATCGCTCTATCTTTGGTAATTAAGTGTCTTAACGCTAATTAGTTTAATATTATGGTGTGATAAAATACATTTCAAACCTTAAGCAATAATTTGTTATACATGATAAAGTATAGGAATAAATCACCAACATTTAATTAAAACCTACCTTAGCGGTCAAATGTGTTGAATGCAAGTATCAAAAACCAATTGACCTAATTAAACTTGATGGATCTATGCACGAGGACCAAGCGGTTGGGGTTCAATAAATGGCTCACGCTTTTTTTAAATTGATTGCCCTCCCCCCCCCCCCCCTCCACCATAAAAAAAAGTCTTTATCTGAGTTACTTCCCGCTAACCAAGGGGAATAACTGATAATAACTTAAATATGAGTTTGCTCGGCTGGTTGATTTTCCTGAAATCACAGCTTAATATCATTAATTACACGACATATTAGTTAATCTGGCTTCTGAATTCAGTAAATTGGTAAATTTTTCATTCATAATTTACACCCAAAAATCAAAATTACAGTGTAAAAAAAATACGTATGTGTCTTGTGTGGTGTTTTGTATCAAGACATTGAATATTTAAATTTCATTTCATATTCGCTGACTAACAACAAACATTCTAATATATAAAAGGTAAAATCTCTCTGCATCAAATAATGTTTTTAAAACGACTGAAGGACAGCAACTTTCAGAGCCAACTAGACTACCCGTCATCCCTTGGATAATTGTGGGTTTCAGGGGTCATCACGTCTGTCACTTATCGTCAGAGGCGTAGCGAGGGGAGGGGGGCGGGGGAGGACATATGTCCCCGGGCGCCGACCTTAGGGGGGGGGGGGGGGCGTCAAATTGAAAGTTTGGCGGGTGGCAAATAAAAAGGTCGAGGGGGGGGGGTGCAAATGAAAAGTTCGAGGGGGGTGCAAATCGAAAGTTTGTCCCCGGGCGCCGGGCCACACAGACAGACTAGACAACAGGACCACACAGACAGACTAGACAACAGGACCACACAGACTAAACAACAGGACCACACAGACTAAACAACAGGACCACACAGACAGACTAGACAACAGGACCACACAGACAGACTAGACAACAGGACCACACAGACAGACTAGACAACAGGACCACACAGACAGACTAGACAACAGGACCACACAGACAGACTAGACAACAGGACCATACAGACAGACTAGACAACAGGACCACACAGACTAAACAACAGGACCACACAGACAGACTAGACAACAGGACCACACAGAAAGACTAGACAACAGGACCACACAGAAAGACTAGACAACAGGACCACACAGACAGACTAGACAACAGGACCACACAGACAGACTAGACAACAGGACCATACAGACAGACTAGACAACAGGACCACACAGACAGACTAGACAACAGGGCCACACAGACTAGACAACAGGACCACACAGAAAGACTAGACAACAGGACCACACAGACAGACTAGACAACAGGACCACACAGACAGACTAGACAACAGGACCACACAGACAGACTAGACAACAGGACCATACAGACAGACTAGACAACAGGACCACACAGACAGACTAGACAACAGGACCACACAGACAGACTAGACAACATGGCCACACAGACTAGACAACAGGACCACACAGACAGGCTAGACAACAGGACCACACAGACAGACTAGACAACAGGACCATACAGACAGACTAGACAACAGGACCACACAGACAGACTAGACAACAGGACCACACAGACAGACTAGACAACAGGACCACACAGACAGACTAGACAACAGGACCACACAGACAGGCTAGACAACAGGACCACACAGACAGACTAGACAACAGGACCACACAGACAGACTAGACAACAGGACCATACAGACAGACTAGACAACAGGACCACACAGACAGGCTAGACAACAGGACCACACAGACAGACTAGACAACAGGACCACACAGACAGACTAGACAACAGGACCATACAGACAGACTAGACAACAGGACCACACAGACAGACTAGACAACAGGGCCACACAGACTAGACAACAGGACCACACAGAAAGACTAGACAACAGGACCACACAGACAGACTAGACAACAGGACCACACAGACTAGACAACAGGGCCACACAGACTAGACAACAGGACCACACAGACAGACTAGACAACAGGACCACACAGACAGACTAGACAACAGGACCACACAGACAGACTAGACAACAGGGCCACACAGACTAGACAACAGGACCACACAGAAAGACTAGACAACAGGACCACACAGACAGACTAGACAACAGGACCACACAGACAGACTAGACAACAGGACCATACAGACAGACTAGACAACAGGACCACACAGACAGGCTAGACAACAGGACCACACAGACTAGACAACAGGACCACACAGACTAGACAACAGGATCACACAGACAGACTAGACAACAGGACCACACAGACAGACTAGACAACAGGACCACACAGACAGGCTAGACAACAGGACCACACAGACAGACTAGACAACAGGACCACACAGACAGACTAGACAACAGGACCACATAGACAGACTAGACAACAGGACCCCACAGACAGACTAGACAACAGGACCACACAGACAGACTAGACAACAGGACCACACAGACAGACTAGACAACAGGACCAAAGAGACAGACTAGACAACAGGACCACACAGACTAGACAACAGGACCACACAGACTAGACAACAGGATCACACAGACAGGCTAGACAACAGGGCCACACAGACAGACTAGACAACAGGACCAAAGAGACAGACTAGACAACAGGACCACACAGACAGACTAGACAACAGGACCACACAGACAGACTAGACAACAGGACCACACAGACTAGACAACAGGACCACACAGACAGACTAGACAACAGGACCACACAGACTAGACAACAGGACCACACAGACAGACTAGACAACAGGACCACACAGACAGACTAGACAACAGGACCACACAGACTAGACAACAGGACCACACAGACAGACTAGACAACAGGACCACACAGACTAGACAACAGGACCACACAGACAGACTAGACAACAGGACCACACAGACTAGACAACAGGACCACACAGACAGACTAGACAACAGGACCACACAGACAGACTAGACAACAGGACCACACAGACTAGACAACAGGATCACACAGACAGGCTAGACAACAGGGACACACAGACAGACTAGACAACAGGACCAAAGAGACAGACTAGACAACAGGGCCACACAGACTAGACAACAGGACCACACAGACAGACTAGACAACAGGACCACACAGACTAGACAACAGGACCACACAGACAGACTAGACAACAGGACCACACAGACAGACTAGACAACAGGACCACACAGACAGACTAGACAACAGGACCACACAGACAGACTAGACAACAGGACCACACAGACAGACTAGACAACAGGACCACACAGACAGACTAGACAACAGGACCACACAGACAGACTAGACAACAGGACCACACAGACAGACTAGACAACAGGACCACACAGACAGACTAGACAACAGGACCACACAGACAGACTAGACAACAGGACCAAAGAGACAGACTAGACAACATGGTGTTATGTCCGACCTCCGACAGCCGCGGAGGAAGCGGACGCCCCAGGTTCGTTTGGTATGGTACCGATAGAAGACGTTGTAACGGAATCTCAACAACTTGCCGTGAGCTCGTTAATTCAGTCTAGGGGTAAATCACGACAAATCAAAGAGACTCACACGCCTTAAACTATGAATACCTTTTTAATTTATGTACAAGATAATGACACTAGGTAAGATCAAAATGTACAGATTCTCAGTGTAATATAAATAAACTCAACTCCAACTTACAGTTTGAGAAAAATCACAATATCACAGCTGTGATAAATCATTACTACACACAACTGAATGGCCTCATAATAATTACAACAAAAGACCAAGGAGAGACAATTTGCCTCTACAACAATAGAAATCCTTATACAGGTTAAACTATCACCGATAGTCAAAAAGGTGTAATAATACACCAGAACACAAATTCAGTAAACTACAACTAGTCACATAATTCCTTATACAAAAGGTGAAATCATGTCACAAAATAACAATACTGCAAAATGGCGTACCTAACCACAGGCACACCTCTCCTGGTCCCTAGGTCAATCTGGCGGCCTCTGGACTTGAGAATCCCGTGATTAAATACAACTCAGAGTAAGGGGAAATAACTCAAAAGTCTTACGACTATTGGTTGAGGGTCAGTCAAGGATCCTCACGGTCGCAAGTCCATTGGTTGAGGTTCTGCCAGGGATTAAACTTACAATCACATGATGTGACAGCGTTCAGTTGACCGGGTTGTACCAGTGAACTGACAATTCTCCCAAGGACAAATACATAACCCAGGAGGTTAAATTTACATAAAGCAAAACAGACCTAAGTAGGTCACATCCCCTCCCTTTTAGAGAGGCATTTTTGTTACACAAAAATGGCAATCACTATATGGAACAAATCTGACACAAAAAATGTCCAATTATAGTAACTAACAAAATTTCTATGTCAATAAAAAACATCCTTAAAAATTAAAGGGAAACAATTCACCTTTTTACAATTTACCAAAGGGAAACAATCCTTCCCAAAGTAATAATACATCAAAGTTCCTTATGCAAAGGAAACCAAACATATCCATCTGGATATAATATGTGGGAAACTTACAACTTAATTCCTTTATTTAAATGTCCCACTACAACATCAACTGAATAATGTGATACATTTTTATAACAACTCAATGCACATTATACAAAACCACCTTTAAATAAGGTTCATTTGAAAATAACAGGCATTTTCAACAAGTAATCAGTTTTGAAAAAACCGTACAATTCACATCTGATTGAAAGCTTGGAACTCCAGCCACTAGGCTACAGTTTAATCAACCATAACATTTGCAAAATGGTTATAACTAACCAAAAAAGTTTCACAAGATCAATGTGAACATCAAAAGTTGTTTTACATTCTTGACAAACAGTCAGCTACAATGTTGTCAGTTCCTTTAATATGGGAAATAACCAGATTAAAGTTTTGGAAAAATAGACACCATCTTAAAATTCTATTGTTATTCTGTCCCAACTTAGTAGTGAACTCAAGAGGATCATGATCAGAACATACCATGACTGGATTGATGGAAGAAGTGACATATACTTCAAAATGCTGTAAGGACAAAACCAAAGCTAAAGCTTCTTTTCCAA